CAGAGAGAGACAGAGACAGAGAGAGACAGAGACAGAGAGAGACAGAGAGAGACAGAGACAGAGGCAGAGAGAGACAGAGACAGAGAGAGACAGAGGCAGAGACAGAGGCAGGGGCAGGGGCACCCTTTCCTGGACCGGGAACATTTGTGCTTCTCTTGGGGGGAACCCAGAAAAAGGTGGTTGTGCCCCACCTTACAGGTGCTGACCCTTTCTGCAGGTATGGACCCAGGTGTTTACGGTGGGTGGTTTAGCCTTTGAATTCTCTGTCTGCCCCTGTACTAGGGTCTGGCTCCTGCTCTCCAGTTTCCCGCTCTCCAGTTTGCCGCTCCCAGGGTCCTGAGGAACTTGGGGCAGGTGGGTGTGGGGGGAACGCGGGTGCGGATCTCCGCCGTGAGCTCCACTGAGGCCGGGGACGCAGTCTCCTTAGAGCTTCGGTTCTTAGTCACGATTTCCCAGTCTCCTCTCTGCCTGTCTTTCACTCCTACCAACCTCGGCAACAGGGGTGGAAGGCAGGTGTGAGCCACAGGGGCTGAGGCAGGGACGTCCCTGAGGCCAGGCCCTGGGGGTCGAGGTCACAGCACGGGCTGCCAGGACACCGCAGGCTCCAGTGTCACAGGTGCACACCCACAGACAAGGCCACTGTGGGGTGAAGCGGGGAGGCTGGGCCTGGGGTGACAGTGTGGCCACAGGGACAAGGGAGGCGCCTCACAAAGGGGACCAGCGGGCCACAGGCTGATGAGACAGTGCCGCCCAAGGTGACCCAGGGCCCCGGGCACCGTGTTCCCAGCATGTGAGTCCAGCAGGAAAACCCAAGGCAACTGCAGAGAAGGGGTCCCCAGCCCCGGCCCCTGCAGATCTGGTTTGCTCCTGACGGCTGGGAGCTCCCAGGTGGCCTCTGGAGGCCTCTCCCCCCACACACCCGGGCTGGCCAAGGAGGAGCTGCGTGGGGCTCTCCAGCCCCTGCAGATCAAAGGCCCAGGTGCAGGGTCCCGGGGTTCAGATCCAGGGCAAGCCGCCCGGGGTGGGGATTCTCGGAACACTGCTTCATTCGGTTCCCTCCTCCTCATAGCTCGGCTGCCAGGGTGCTGAGCGAGAATGTTGGCAGGGCTCTTCCTGGCTCCCACAGTTCAGAGGCGCTGGCCGTGGGAGACAGGAAAGGACCCGGGTGCTAGGGTCTCAGTGCAGGCAGGCGGGACAAGGCCTCCGAGGGCAGCTGCTTCTCCTGGCCACCAGGCCCCAGGCTCCTGAGCAGGTCACGCACCTGCAGCCGCCTCGCCACTGCCTTCCCCAGCTTGGGCGGGGGTTAGTGGTAGGAGCGCAGGCTCCCAGGCAGCACGCGCTGCCACTTGTGTGGAACAGAGATGTCGTGTATGAGGAGATTGTGTCAGAGAGCTCTGTGATACACGTGGTCCCCAAACTGACTTCAACTGACTTGTTTGCTCAAGTGACAGAAAATGATTGTATGTATTTATGGGGTTCACCGTGCTGTTCTGATGTCTGTGTGGGTGGGAAAAAGAGTGAATGGGCCCTGACACACCCCTCACTCACCTCCTTCTTCCTTTGCCTGTCGCATACTTTTCACTTCTGGGCTTGGAAGCCCTGGAGCCAGGTCTGAAGCGGAGGGGGGCCCCCAGCCCTGGGTGCTGCGTGTCCTGCCTTTCATCAGATTCAGAACAAAGAACAGCACAGTGATGTAAAGACGAAGAAACAGAATTTTAAAAGTTGCTTCAATCCTGTCCTATAAGACTTGGAATTTATGCTGGGCATGGTAGCACACACCTGTAATCCCACCACTTGGGAGGCTGAGGCAGGAGAATCACTGGGAGTTCAAGACCAGCCTGGACCACATAGCAAGACCCTGACTAAAAAAAAAGAGGGAGAGATTTGGAATTTTTGTTTGGACTTAAAATTTTTAAATAGTGAAGGAGTTTAAGGTGTCATTTTTTGGTTTAATAAGTGAACATTGTAGTTCCTATTGGCAATATTTTACTAAATTGTAGTATCTTGAAAGTTGAAATGTATTCTTTTTCAACGCTTATTGTTTTAGAACTAAAGAAAGAGCCAAAAAATTTAGTAATTGTTGAAATACCTTTTGCAGGTATTTTGGTTTTATGGAAACTTTTATTGGTTACTAGATAATTATTGACATAAAAATTAACAATCAGATCCTAATCGGAACACAGTGCTGTGAGGCAGCATCCAGAGCCTCGTAAACAACCGTCCCTGAGTCCCGGCTGCACCCACTGCGGTGTTCGCGGGCCTGGCCTGGCACGCACTGCCCCGCTGCGTGGGGTGGGAGCAGCCAGGCTGGGGCCAGGGCCAGGCGGGGACCCAGGACTCAGGCACAGGGTCCCCAGCGGAAGTCAGGAGGGCGGGCACAGCCTGGGAGGGTTCGGGGCCCTGCAGAGTGAAGCTGGGGCTGACCCTGTGGTCCAGGCTGCACTCGCCTGGGGGCTCAGGCCCGGCTGAAAGAGATGAGAGAAGAGAAGAAATGCATCGTATGCTGTGTGTGCCTGCGTCATTTACACAAAATATAAATATAAGAATAAGATACCTTCGATATAAAAGTAGAAAAATGGCAGGGGCAGCGCTGCTTCACTGGGCAAGGAGCACAAGCGAGACCGTGCCTGGGGAGGCAGGTGCCTGGGGTGAGGCATCATGGGGCTCAGAGGACAAGGCCACGGCCAGGGGTCCTCACCTCCCTCAGTGAGGACAGAGCTGGGCGCCCACCCCCCAGTGCCAGGCACAGTTGGGCACAGGGCCTGGGGCACAGCGGCTCTGCCCACTGCAGAGAGCCTGTGGGACCAGGCCACAGACGGGCCAGGCGCTGGCAAAGGTCCTGTCACTGCCCAAATGCACAAGGTGAGCAGCAGACCGAGAACACCTCCTCCTGCACAGCAGGGCCTCCACCTGCTCCCCACGCCAGGGGCTGAGCCCCAGACAAACGGCCTGGCTCTCTGGGCACCCAGCCTGGGGAGGGACCCAGGGACGGCCCCACCCTGCACCCTACCACTGACCACCCGCCCAAGGGACCACAGGCCAGAGCTGTTGCCCTCCCTGAGCGACAGGCCGCCCGGGCACAAAGGGGCAGCCGAGGACACCCAGGGCTGGGCGGTGTTGGGGGCTGAGGGGCAAAAGGAGACGACGAATCCCTGGCCACTGACACTGCCCACCCACGGCCCTCTGCTGCCCCAGTGCAGATGCCCTCAGGGGACCACAGGGTTTGTAAGGCCGAGGACGGAAATAACGCCAAGTGTGGCGAGCAGGCATGGGTAACTTGAATCGTGTCGTAGCCATGCACAGCTATACTCCGCTGCACGGAGAAGGCAGATGCATTCATAAGCGCCAAGGTTTTGCCTTGTGGTACTGGGCATTGGACCCAAGGCCTTTGCACCCACCCCTTTTTAAGTCCTTTTTTGAGACAAGATCTCACCAAGTCCCTAAGTTGCTCAAACTGCGCTTGAACTTGCAATCCTCCTGCCTCAGCCTCCCAGGGTGCTGGAATGACAGGCCTGTGTCTTAAAGCTCAGGCTTCAGTGATGTCCTAGACGTAACTCCAAGCAGGATGTGTGGGCCCCAAGCTGTGTGCACAGAGCCATGCTGTGGCGTGAGGCTGCTCTGTCCCGGACACTCGCACCGGCCCTGTCCCCACCACTGCCACTCTGCTCTGCTCCCAGGGCCACCGTCCAAGGCCCAAGCCCAGCTCAGGTCAGCAGATTAGGCTCTGGCCACGGATCCTGGATGGGATGCCCTTCCCAGGACCCTCCGGCTCCCCACGTCTGGGTCTGCTGTGGCCTTGGCTGGAGGTGAAGGGCAGCAGGAAGTGTGTGTCACCCAGGCAGCATCCAGTTCGTGGAGACGCGGCTGCTCCTGCCAGGGTGCAGTGCTGGCCGAGACGGAGCGGAGCAAGGGCGAAGCGCATGCTCTGTCTGGGGACGAGCCCTGACGTGCTGTGAACGCCGCAGTGTCCAGGGCGGCTGTGCGGGCCGTGGTACCATGGACTCAGAGGAACACTGCTGCGATGATCATCATGTAGTTGTGAGATCTTCGTATATTTGGAGCCAAGAGCCACTTAACAATCGGGGGCCCTCCTGAGGCTCACTGGCCCTGGGTGGGCACTGGCCGGGGACACACTGCTGGGAGATTCGGAGCTGCAGGCCACCGGGGCCAAGGGAGAACTCGCCAGCTGTGGGCTGTTTCCGAGCAGGCCGGACCTGCATGGCTCCAGAGCCCCACACGCTGACCTCGGGCTGACCTCGGGCCGACCCGGGCCACACTGTGGCGAGACAGGCCCACCACAGCCCTCTGGGCATGGCCAGGTGCTGCAGCCCCACCCCACCTCTGCCCCTGCACCTTGTGGGGTCAAGGACAGGCCTCCCAGCCAAGCACCCTCAGGGAGCAGAGACTTGGGCCTCAGCATCCTGGAACTGAGGAGAGGCCCGACCCGGCCCCCTGCCCTCAGCTCACCTGAGCTCTTTCCCCTCCCAACTCGAGGTCCTGCACCCCTTCGAGGGCTCAGAGGGCTGAGGGGCTGCAGGACCAGCTCACTGCCCCCTCCAGAGCCGGTGCGCGAGGGCCCAGTCTCCCTGGCAGTGGCCGGTGACTGACACTTCTCCAGAGCGGAGCCCCAGCCCTCACTTGAGCCTCACAGGCTCAGGGCTCCACCGGGTCTTTAAGGACAGAGTCGCCGCTTGCAGCTAAGAAGCCGCATCTGAGCATCAGCTGGCGCTTCTGCCCTGCTGCCCCCTGTGGTGGGTCCGGGGTGGGCAGAGAAAGGCCCAAGGCCAAGCAGGGCTCCCCAGGGCTGAGGGAACACTTGTCAGGGGACACGGCAGTGGCTGCTCTCCGGTCATGTCCAGGAAGGAAGCCCCACGGTGGCGGGAAAGCAGATGCAAAGCTGGAGTTTGGATACAAGATTCTTACTAGGACACAGAGAAGGGAGCTGGGCAGAAGCAAGATCCACAGGAGGAAAATGAACTGTTTCGACCAGCCAGACCAAGAGCTCCACTGGATCACCCACTGGGGTTGTCCACGCAGCACACAGACGCCGGGCCAGGCAGCTGGGATGGTGATACCTGTATCCCAGTGACTCAAGAGGCTGAGGCAGGAGGGTCACTTCACCCGAGGACACGACCAGCCTTGGCAACATAGTGAGACCCCATCCCTAAAGAATGCCCAGGCTTTGAAATCTGCCTTCCTACTGTGCCAGGCCTGGCCTGGATTGGGCAGCAGGGCCCGCCCTGAAGTTGGGCTGATGGATTTGCTGTTGTTCACACAGCTCCCACCAGGGGGCAGCAAGTTCTTCCTAAAGGCCTCCCACCATCCTTGGACCCCAGACTCAGGGCTGGCACGGGACAAGGCAATCGGGGCATCCGAGGGCGCAGAGACCAGTGGTGTGGGCAGGCAGGCCCATCGCATGGGAGCTTGGTCCCTGGCAAGAGGAAGCCTGTGCTGGACTTCAAGAGGCGAATGACGTGGTCAGGGGCTTTGGGAAGTCCGTCTGAAGGGCAGGGAGGCCAAGCAGGAGTTGCTGGGAGCAGGCTGGGCCAAGGCTGCAAGGTGCAGCCACAGGAGGAGGAGAGGGCAAAGGGACAGGCCGGCCAGGGAAACACAAACACCGCAGAACAGCCTGAGGAGGAAACACCATCAGAACACGCAGCGCCGGCCAGGGAAACGGGGAAGGACCGGGCGGGGCGCCAGGAGCGCGGCGGGGGGCTGCCAGCCACTTGGGGCCCAGGGAGGGGGAGACAGGAGGGCCTCGGTTTGGCCATCGGAAGGCCAGGACTGGGCGATTCTGGTGGGCACAGCAGGCCCAGGCCTCAGATGGGTGTTGGGCACACGTCCCCTGCTGTCCAGGCCCCCGACAGCAATGACACAGCCAGGCCTCCCACCAGGCAGGCTCCGAGCCCACGTCCTTCCCTAGAGAGGACCTGGGGCACTGGGTCTGGGCGCCCTGGCCACGGAGAGGGTGGCAGGTCCAGGGGTGTTGGGCTCCCCTCAAAGCAGCACAGAGACCTCCAGCAAACTCGGAGCAGCCTCCATGGGACTTGGTGTAAGGAATGTTTACTTAGTCCACAGAGCTGGTGCCCAGGTAAACAGTGCATCTCATAGGCAGAGCCCTCGCCAGCCGGCCCCTCAGGCAATGCCTGCTGGCTATAAGCCGCACCCATGACAACAGTGCACACACACTCTGTGGGACCACCAACCCAGACCAGCACGGCCTGCCTTCTGCCGTGAAGTTTGGCACCACTGTCGCCCTCCTCATGCTGGCGTGCAGCTGCAACTCAGGTGAGAACAGGGGTCCCTCTCTCTCCCCGCCAACAGCACAGGACCCCACAGACAGAAAGGCCTGGTGTGGGGAGGAGACACCATAGAGGTGAGCGTGGAGATCACATACAGGAGCAAGGAGATCGCGCGCGCACATGCACTCACACACGCACGGAGGGGCCACACTGCCCCGTGCCCTTCGGGAGCAGGACCCTGTAACTATGCTTCACTCTGAATCAGCCCCCCTCCCATCTGAAAATGCCATTGTTCTCTGTAGTTCCCTAAACCCAGGGACATAGGTGTTTCGGCCGGACAACCCCAAGGCAGGGAAGCAGCTGTTTTCAGAGAGCCTGCCTTGTGGCTGGGGAAGTGACCCCTTCCAGCCAGAACGCGCTTAATTAGATGTGGGTCTGTATGGAGCAGGGAGGCTCAGCGGGATGGGCGGCTGTACTAAGGGTGGATCGGGAGCAGTTTGCACCCCTGAGTTACAAGCGGTGATTAGCCCTGATAACCGCATGCAGCTGCCCTACACTGGGGTGCCATTCCCATCCCGAACCCTTCCCTGCCATCCCTCCCACTCTCCCAGCAACCAGTGAGGCAGGCTCGTGTTCCCCTCACAGACAGCACACAGAGGCCCCCAAGGCAAGTCCTCGGCTGGCGGTGGCCTCAGTGGTGGCCCTGAGCAGGAGCCCAGTGCTGATTCTGCTCACAGCTGGAGGGAGCGCTGGGCCAGACACCCCCACACAGTGGCCTCCAGGCCGGGCCAGCCCGGTGATGCGTGGCCAGACGGTGAGGCTCCAGGAAGAGCGAGGCTCTCAAGGCCTGTGCTCGAGCACCAGACCCCCATTCCACTCCGCTCCACCACCAGAAGGCCGCCGCCCTCGCCGGGGCTGGGCTGTGGGCGGCCTGGCCAGGGCCCGCTCCCACGGGTGCTCGCTCCTCTCCAGGTCCTGCCAAGACCTGCCGCTGTTCCACACCATCCTCCAGAACTTCCTGACGGGCTCGCTGCCTGGCTACCAGAGCACGGTGGAGCCCTTCCGGCCTGACCAGGACGTGAAGGAAGCGGGCACCAGGATGAAGACCCTAGTGGACACCCTGCCCCACAGCACCCGACGGGCGGTGCTGAGGCTGTCGGTGAGCCCATCCCCATTTCCAACCCAGATGGGACGACAGCGCCAAGGCTGATGGGTCCCTGGACAAGCAGGCACAGGCTTCTCAGGCCTTCCCCAGTGTTTATTGTTGGTTTTGCTTTTGTTATTTTGGGGGGTTCTCCACACATAGCCCGGGCCGGGCTCAAACACCATCCTCCTGCCTCAGCCTCTCAAGTAACGGGGACTATAGGCGTGCAGCTGTGCCTGGCTCCTGTCTCCTTTGTTAAGCGCTCTCTAAGCAAAGCACCCCGGCACTTACGCACTGCTGTCTCTGGGCACCTTCATCTCCCTGCTCTGAAACTCACTCATCGTTCTTTTGGGCTTTCCTTTCTCTTTTAGGAAAAAATAGTAAAAACCAGTGTGTGTGCTTAGACTTCAGCAACCCGAAGCCCTCTGGATTCAAAGCTGAAGGTGTCCCCGGACCATTCTGTCCCTGCCCGAAGCCCCCTTTGCTTTGCAATAAACCTCGAGCACCTCACTCAGCCTCCGTCCTCTTCCTCACTCACTCACTTGCTGGGGTGGGGGCAGGGCTGGGTCCCCAGAGCCCAGGGAGTGGGGGCCTGGGACCCTGAGCCCCTCAGACCCTCCTCTGCCACACTCAGCGGCCCCAGCGGCCAGGCCACCGTTCCCTCTGCCCTGCCTCGTCCCAGCCTGGATGCCTCTGCCCTCCCTCCGAGGGCCCTGGAGTCTCCCCCAGCCCATGGCCTAGGCCACTCTCCTGTGGTGGAGAAGGCTGAGCCAGAGGCGTCCTCCCACCCTCCCTGAACCTCGGGGCCTGTGAACAACAACACCCACAGCCCAGCAAGTATCCAGAGCAAACGTAGGGGGAGCAGCTGGCCCTAAAGAGCACCTGAGACCCCAAACCTGGCCTGAGGTGGCTGAGGACGGGTGGCATTGACCACCAGGGGGCAGTATCACCATGCCAGGCTGAGCCGGGGCACCGGGTGGAACCCAGCACTCCCAGGGATCAAACTCAGGACTTTGCACTTGTGCACGCGGTTATCAGGTGCCGGGCCACCGAGCTCCATCCCCGACCCTCAAATGCAATTTTTGAGGCGTTTTAAAATCCGAGTTCTGCAGGAAAACAGGGGAGCCATGCTCCACCCCTAGCTGGCAAGAGCCCCTCCAAAGGATCCTGGGCAGCTGACCCTGGCCCCGAACCCAACACCCAGGTACCCGCATGGATCCCTCACCCTGGGGTCATTGTCACAGTGCCTGCCCTGGACAATGCCAGAGCACAGGCCACCACCCTGCAGGTGGCAGGAGCTGCCAGAGCCCATAAAACAGGTGACATCCGTGAGAAGAGTCCCCAGGACACACACCCGTGCTCACACTTAAGCCAGGGTGGCCCTGCCCGCTGTGCCGGAAGGACCAGGCTGTAAAAATTCCAGGGCAGGTCAGCAGGGCAGGCGGAGATTCCTGGGGCCGGATGGGCGTGGGGCCTCCCTGCCTGTCACTCCCAGGGCCCAGCTGCCTGCATCCAGGTCACCCAGGATTCCTCCCGGGTCCCCACCAAGCCCAGGATTGTTCAGTGGATAAAGATCAAGGCCAGGAAGGCTCAGAATTTTAATTACCATCCCCTGCTGGGGCAGTGTTTACCTTGGGCAAACACAGGGCAGATAAGCAAGGACAAAAGGAGCCACAATTACCCTGCAGCAGGTCCCTGCCTGAGGAGCTGAGGGGACCCATAAGAATGTGCGCTATGTCATCACCCAGAACCCAGCCTTGTGCTTTTCAAAGAACAGGGTGCTAAGCGCAAGCAGAGAACGAGCAACTGTGAGAGGCAGTGACAGGAAGGCAGCTCTGGGCCCCTTGGTGGTCCCTCCAACGGTGGCACCCAGCTCGGTAGCACCCACCACCCCGCGCCCGCAGGCAGAGGAGCTTGGGCCGAGCCTGACTTCAGGTGAACACGAGCTAAGGACGGCTTTTGCATTTGAAGAATGAAGAGTGAGGAAGAGGAGAAAAAGCCCACACTTGTATTAGGCAAATATCTACTTACATATTAGCCATTTTCTCTAGGAATATGCCAAACCCTAAACACGGGAAGCCCAGCGTACGACTAGGTCCCTCCTGCATTTGAGGGGTATTGAACACCAACTAACTGCTTGAAGAAAAGACTTAAGATGCATCCCAGCCATGAACAAAAGACTAAAAACAAGAAAGGCATGTTTAATGCTCCACTTGTCTTAACATTCAGAACCTTGAGTAGCGAAGGTAGAGAAGGACCACATTTCCTGATGACTTTGTTAAGGTAAGTGAATCTTACCGCTTCTCGGCCTTTTGGCTAAGATCAAGTGTAGGAAAGTGAATCTGGGTGAAAAATATTTGGAAAGTATCTGTTATCCCAACAACTTGGAAACCAAAGGAATTTTAGCCTCGACGGTAGCCAAAGAGGAAGGGTAATTCTCAAAGCTGCTCTCACACTGTGAAATCCCAGCCTGGTCCTTCTGTGCCAGTTGTGGCCCGCATGAATTGATCACCAGGACCGTGTGGCCCCCAACCCAGGCGGCCGAGGTTACCCTGAAAGAAAATCTGCAAATGACTCACCAGGCCGGAAGAGGAAGCCAAGCCAGCCCTAATCAACTTCATCAAGATGGTGTGGATAAAACCATGTTTAGAGCCCATGCCAGGCATGATGTTTTCGAACACCGAGGACTTGTGGGTAGTAATTCAGCGCAGGGTGATGGCCACGCTGTTGGCTTCAGATGGACGATAAAGGGACCCTTGGCTGATGACAATCGGGCCACACAAAGACCTGTAATTAGGGGTAGAGTGAGCCTGAGTCATCAGCAGCTAGCCACCCAGCACACTTCCACAATAAACTAAAATTACCAAACTACAGGACATGCAAAAAAATCTGAAAATAGATTCAGCTAAGCAGACATGGTTGCCAGCTTCGGAACTGATAAGCCAGGGACTGGGAGCTCTGGCCTGGTCCGCCTCAGTGTGCGCAGATCCCCGCCTACCCCCAACCCTGCTCAGCACGGAAGCAGGGTTTGCACCCACAGGCAGTTGGCCCCTGTCACTGCACAGAGCTGCCTTTGGGACTCTCCGGAGGCTCCTGCCCCCAAGCAGATCCTCTGTCAGCCCTAGGGCAAGGTGGGGACCCCAGGGCTCCTGGGGTGTGGGGCCCGATTCCTCCCCTGCTCTCTACCCTATACTAGGCCTTGACACCCGGGCCTGGCTTATAGCAAATCCCCTCTGCACTAATTTCTTATGGCAGCTGGAACAGATTACCACAAACTTAATGGCTGTAAAAAGAAGAAGTTTGTTTATCTTGCAGTTCTCGGCCTCACTGGGTGGGGCACAGGGGGCAGGGCCCAAGCCCTGGACGGCAGGGGCTCCTGGCACCTCCCCATCTCACTCGGTCCGACCGCGCTTCTTCAGGCTGACTCTGTCGCCCCTGCCTGCTCCTGCCCCGCCCGGCCGCAGCTGAGCCGGAAGATGCCAGCTCCACTCCAGGCCTGTGGGGAGCAGCCTGGGCCCTGCCCACTTGTGCCTGGGCCCTGCCGCGGGGCTGGGGACCGGTGCAGGGACATTTTGACCCGGCCCCCGGACGAGCTCCAGGTCTGTCTCGCTCGCTCCCTCCGGAATGCTCCTCTCCCGGTGCCAAAACCAAACGGCGCCCTTGAGCTTTGCTCACAGCCTCCCTGCTCCCAGGCTCCGCCTGTTTCCTGCTTGGCCTCAGCCCATGACTCTCCTTGGAAGAGGCCCCTCTGTGCCCCGCAGGGCAGCCTGGGGATGAGCTCGCCCTGGGGGGGGGGGGACCTCGCTGTGCTTGCTGCCCAAAGGGCCCCAAGAACCAGCCCGCCAGGCATCTCTCAGGCGAGCTGAAAAAGGGTTTGCTCTTTTTTTTTTTTTTGAGACAGGCTAACCTCGAACACAGGGCAATCCTCCTGCCTCAGCCTCTCAAGTGCTGGGATTATAGGTGTGCACCACCTTGCCCGGCCTACTGACTTTACTGTTTATCGCAAATCCGCCTCTAACCAGGCATCCTGCACTGCCCACCCCCAGCCCCTCTGTCCCTGGGCCCCCTTCCTTCCATCTGCCTCTTCACCCTCTCCAGGACAGGAGCCCGAGCAGGCATGAATCCCATGTTTGCTATCTCACTGCTCATGTAGAGAATTTAGAAAATCCAAGTAGCAGAAGGAAAAGAAGCTGCTGTAGTGTGAATGTGCACTGTGTGCTGGGTCACACCACTAGGATCCTACATTTGACCCTCAGGTGGAAACTGAGTCCCTAAACCGAGTACGGGGCAGGACACTGCTTCTAGGCAGGACCAGGGCGGTACCTGAGAGGTCCCAGAGAGATGACCCCAGACCCCAAAAGACCCCCCATGACCTCCAGCCACCACCACTGCTTGAGAAATCCGCTCCCAGGGCAGGCCGGAAGTTCCACCCAAAATTCCACGAAGTTTGGGGCTCCCTGGGCCTGTGATCCCTGCTTCTGTTTCCAGATGAAGATGAAATCACCTTACAATAACAGATTCTTCCTAAACCACAAATCCATCTGAAATGTGCTCATTTCATTCTTGATCCTTTTCAAGGTCTGATCATTACACAATTATAGCAATGTTGGTGGATGTTAACTTTTAACCAGAGGATCCCAAAACAGGAATTTCAGACTGTATCCGTTTTCAAAGGGACAGAACACTTGGAAAAGTTGTGAGCCCAAAGAAATGCGTTGGTCGACCTGTTAAAAGTTACATTCCAGGGCCGGGGATTCAGCTCAGTGGCACCGTGCCTGACTCACAAGTGCAAGGTCCTGAGTTCAATCCCCAGTACCAAACAAAAAAAGAGAAGAAAGAAAGAGTGAGAAGGGAGGAAGCGGAAGGAGGGATGGGCTGAGGCTCCAGGCGTGACTCTGGGACTGGGGAACGGCACCTGGCTGCCTGTGGCCGCCGACCGGACCCTAACCTACCTAACCCGGGCTCTGGCGAGCGGGAGGGCACAGCACTGATGGCAGAGCTGGCCAGAATGGGCGCCTGCGGGACGCTCCCCCTGCAAGCCAGGGCTGCCCGTGCCCACGTGGTGGGTCACAGACCTGAGCCCATGCCTGTCCCGCATCAGGGGAGACCCGGTCCACACGCAGGGCTGAGCTGGGCTCCGAGTGGCCACCCTGGGGAAGGTGGCCATTAGCGGCAGGTGTTTGTTTCCTTTGGCACAGCAGCATGTCATTTCCCATTTTTAGAACAATGCTCCAAGGAACAGCACAAAAACAACGTTCAGAGGGGCGGTTTTCTTCCAGCACTTGGACAGCCCTGTAAAACAACCCCAGAGGGACTGGAGTTCAAAACCTATTTGCACGTCACCATAAAACCAGGAGCCAGGACGAAGTCCCTGCCCAGAGCCTGCGGGAGGGGCCTGGGCGGCAGCCTGGGGATGGGGCCGGTGTGGCCTCAGGCGGGCGGGTGGGAAGGAAGCTCAGGGAAACAGCACAGGACGTTCTCGGGTGGGGATGCAGGAGGTAGCCCAGGCTTCCGCCTGCCACAGGAAGCCTCTCGGCCCTCGAGGTCCGCACACCGGGCCCTCAGTCAGCGCCATGGCGACCCTTCCTGTCCTCTGCCTCCTGAAGCCCAGCAGCGGCTGCAGGACGGCACCCACTCCCTCACACCCAGCCCCGCGTGACCCCTCACTGCCCCTGGGACCAGAGTGGCGGGTTCAAGGCCCACCCGAGCCACGTGATGGGCCAGATCACCACCACCCTCCTCACTGGGGCACGATCCTGCCCGGCCTCAGCATGGCGCCTGCTGTGGAGGCACCATCTGCACAGTACCTCAGAGGGTGCTGCCTGGAAGGAACTTAGTCCTCTGGGACACAGTCCCCCGACTCTAGACAGTTGCCAGGAAGGAGTAAGACCGGCTGGCCTGGCCGCCTCCCACTGAGTGCAGTCCCCGTGCACCCTTCTGGGGCCCTGAACCCCCAGAGCTGCGCACTAAGCAAACCTCTGCTTTAGAAAGTACTCAGCTCCAAGCACTCTGTAAGAGCACCGCCAACGGATCCACCCAGAGGGGAGGTGCTAAGCAAGCCTCTGTCAGAGGACGGCAGGACTGGGCACGGGCAGCCCGGACCTCCTGTGCCGCCCCGAGCTCCCAGAGGAGCTGCGAGGCCCTTACCCGGTGGTGGGGTGAACTCCTGGGTGGAGCCCAGTGCTCCCGCGTCTCAGAGGGCGGGGCCTTTGGGGTTCCTGGGGTATCAGGCTCATGGTGAAGCCCCCTTTGATTATTAAAGAGCAGCATCGCAACCTCGGAAACCAGTGCTGTACCGAGAACCGCTCGGGACCCCTGACCACACAGACGCGGGTTCAAGCCCCACCCCACTCCGACCCCTGAGAGGCTCACAAGCCGTCCATCCCAGAAGCCTGGCATCCCCTCTAAAGTGAGAGCGATGCCTGGCTGATGGGTGGTCTGGAAGACGGGGGAAATGGCCTGTGCCAGGCAAGCTTGTGTGGTAAGTGCCCAGTAGGGGTCACTACTTCCCTGGCACATAGGCATGTGACAAGTCTCATACGTGTTCAGTAGAGCATGAAACGCTCACCCTAACGAAGAGCTCGGTCATCTGTCACGCTCGTGCACCCACACGAGCCACACCCAGTCCAGATGTGGGGTCTCCCGCGCCCCGGAAGCTCCTCCCTCACACCTGCTGTCCACTCCCCCGAGACAGACAGGGCTGGGTGGCTTTGCCTGCAGCTCAGCCTCGTGGCATGGGGCACAGAGCGCGGACCCTCCCAGGTCTGCATGCACTGTTGCTGCCCTCCAGTCCTGGGGATGGACTTGGGCATCCCAAGAAAACCCCTGGGACTTTCGCGTGCGGATCTTCCTGCTGGCACAGGATGGAATCTGCTGACCCGTCGCCTGGGGCTGGCCGGTCTCCGCTCGCCCCCCGGGACCTGGTGGTGGTGTTTGCCCCAGGTCCTCAGCTGCCGCTGGCCGGCCTCCTCGCTGCCCCGGACGGGTGTTCGGTGTCTCCTGTGGCCTTCATTTGCCCTTTCCTTGCAGTGATGTCCAGTGTGGGGCTGTCCTGTGTCCTCTTTGGGGAGTACCTATGTGAGTCTCCTGCTTATTTATTTTTGTTATATTTTATTATTTGTCTTCTTCGTACTGACTTACAGTGGTTCTTCATCAAGCCTGGAAACACACAGGCAACTACGTGCACCACAGGCCCAACTCTCTGAGTCTGAAACCTGCTGTATTTCATGGTGGCTTTTGCCTGAGAGAGGCTTTTAATTTTGAGAAAAGCCAGTGGTTGATTTGCTTCGCTGGTGAGTGCTTTCAGTCTTCTGCTCTGGAAATGTTTGCCCCTCTGTAAGGTCCTGCAGACCTTCTCTCTACTTCCATTTTTTCCAGGCTTCCCCTGGAGGTGGACAAGAGTGGTCTGCTGTTGCTTCAACAGGCAGCAAAGGTCCCCGAGAGAAACATATCCCTGTGGTGCTGATGTGGAAATGCCTGAAGTCTCTGGACCACCCAGCCTGTCCCGTGGCCTCCGGACAGGACAGAGGGCCCTGGCTGCGAGCTGAAATTCCAGGGTGGGGCCCTTATGGTGGAGCCAGGAGGAGTGGGCAAGGGAGGGCCTCACTCAGCTTCTCCTTACTGTGATGAAGTACCAGAGACAACTGAGCATACCGAGGAAAGGGCTTTGGTTCACAGTTATAGTTTCCAGCCCAAGATCAAGCAGACAGGAGCTTGGGCTCTGCTGGACTCCAGGGCCAGCAGGGGACCTGCCACTGCCCTGTCATAGGGCCAGGGAGGGTCTGGGTCCCACAGCAGAGGACCTCTGTGACCTGGAGACCTCCCAGCAGCACCGCGGGGGCCTCTGGGGGACCTTGGATGCCCAGACGCGGGCCTGCACCCCGAGGCCAACAGCTCAAACTCTTCCCTGGGCTGGACTCACTCCGGAACCTTACCCTAAACTCGTCCCCACCCCACCACTCTGCTCTCCTTCTAAACCCTTTCTCTCTCCTCCCCTGAAACAAGGTAGCAGTGGGCCGATCCTTCTCTGGCAGGGCTGGCCAGGCGCAGGCCGCTTCTCTCCTCCCCACCTCTCCGCCCAGCCTCTCCATGCAGAGCCCAGGGACAGGGAGGGGCGGATGGAATGAGCTCCAGCGCTCCAGGGCCAGTGGGTGTGAGCCCTGCAACCCCAGTCTCAGAGGAGGAAGCGGGGCCTGGGGGCTGGGAGGGGAGCCGTGCCAGGCCAAACAGGAAGCCAGCATCCAGCTGGCCGCGTCCAGCCTTGAGCTGGGATAGCTTTCCAGCCCCCTCCCGCCCCAGCCTCGGGCGGACAGTGGTGACTGCAGGTCACGGGGTGCTTCCTGGTGACTCAGCTGTGACCACTCTCTCCCTACACTGTGATCACGGGAGGACGCCGTGCCGCTGGCCAGGCTGGGAGGCGGCCTGAGGACAGGCCCTCCACGTAGTGAAGCCCAGGCCCTGTCCCCTGCTGGGTTTGCCCCCAGGCCCCAGAGCTGTGGCACCCAGCGATGTGACCCTGGAGTGGGGCTCATGGACAGGAGTGACTTCATGCCCAGTGCTGGGTGGTAAACCTGCAACAGGCACCTCAGCAGGGCTCAGCTCCCCTCTGCTTGAAGACCCTGCTGCACCAGGCCCGAGAGGAGCCCGATGCCTTCCTGGCTGAGAGCCCTAGGCCATGACAAACCTCTCTCCTCTGTAACCCACCTGGGCCCAGGTGCTGTGTCCCAGCAACCGAAGATGGAGCAGGCTTTTCCTGAGATGGTCGGCTGAGGGCAGACAACATTCCAGGCCCGGGCCTCCTCTGGACCCCAGCGGCACTCA